GATCTATCTAGGACGTTTGGTTGAGAAATTATAGCTCTTCAAGTGATGACTCTTCGATTTTTGCGAGCCTACTTTTATCTTCTCTGATAATGAGTGAACAGTGAACAGTGAACTCTTACGGTCCGCATTTAAAACCCCATTCAGATATGAGGCATTGATGAAGTCTATGCCGTATCGTGCCATTAGACCGCTAAACGTACTTCGCGGCGGATCTTTTTTTTGATGATCACTTTCACTTCGTCATATATTTTATAAATCCACTTTGGCTCACGGCCATTGAAAAAACTGTTTATCGCATCGCGATCATCGTTCATCATGGTCTCATAGACTTGGAAGTGCAGATTGAGTGCTGCTAGTATCTTCATTTTCGTTGATCGCTGTGCAAAATCGTCAAACTCCTCCTCGATAAATGGACTTTTGCATATGTTTCGAAGGCCCATCTCCACCGTACGGAATCTAGTTTCAGCCATCTTCAAACAAATGAAAATCAAACACACAATGTGTCACACAGCAATTCACTCGTTTCGGGTGACTTTTGTTATGATTATTATTTGTCGTGGCGAATATTATTTCTTTTTCACTCTCTTGTCTTTATGTTTTTATGATGGAAAAGCTTACGCCACTGTAGCACATCCACTGGCTTATGCTGAAAGTAAGCGTAAGCCAACCATAAGCAATGAATGTGTTTAACATCATTTGACAGCTGGATAATTTGTATTGGCTTACGCCGGGCAACATTTGAATACCTGTAGAACGTAAACCGTACATCGGATCACATTGCTTCAAACGGAATTTTTATTCGTCAATGCTTTCTCTTCATTTTTGTCGCTGGCAATATTTGTCTATGTAGTGTGATTGTAAAGTTATAAACAAAAATTTGTGCAAAAACAACAATTTGACAAAATAAATTATTTGGTTTCCAAATTAGACACATTTTTGACGCTTTTAAACAATGGATTTGATTGTTCTCTGATTTATGTCAGTCGCATTTTCTGACTAAACCATGAGGAATCCAGGATTATGAATATTTTTTTAAATATCTATGGCCAGAAATTAATATTAAATATTGAATTAGTCCTTTAGAAAATTACAAGAAATGACAATTATTCTCGTTTCCTCCAAATTAGAGTTCGGTCTCTTCAACTATGTTATGATTTTTCTGAGTGGATTAATCTTGAATGCGGTGTTTATGGAAACATGTGGAATGGCCTTTGTGATTCCCGTTTCACAATGTGACATGGAATTGAGTACGAGTGAAAAGGGGATTTTGGGTGCCGTTTCATTCGTTGGCATAATTTGTTCGTCACATTTATGGGGCTTTTTGGCGGATACCAAAGGCCGTCGCTGCGTCATTCAACCCACTCTATTCGTAGCGTTCCTTTTGTCTGTAACCTCTTCATTCGTTCAGAACTTTTATCTTTTTGTTGCACTGCGATTTCTCAATGGGTTTTTGTAAGTTAATATTTACATATCTGAGTTATATTATTTTTAATGAATAGTTCAAGCATTTAATCATTTTATTTTGCTGACGTGATTTTAATGCGGAAAGTATGAAAAACTTCAAATAACTTCTATTAAATCTTCGAGCATTTCCCTTTCCAATAGCATCTCCGGTTCGTCGGCAACAATTTTTGCGTATTTGGGTGAATTCCATAACAACGCACAACGAGGTCGTGCCATAATGGGATCGGCGGTAATCTACGGTATTTCATGTCTATTGTTGCCATTGATCGCATGGTTTGTCATCAATCAAGATTGGCAATTTTACGTGCCTCTCATCGATATCACATACAAACCGTGGCGTTTTTTCCTTGTTGTCTGCGGTATTCCCGGATTCCTTGCGTCGATGATTCTATTATTCATGCCAGAGAGTCCGAAATTCGTTCTCGGCCAGGGTAACGAAGTGGAAGCCTATAAAGTTTTGCAAACAATGAACCGATGGAATAACGGCAAGAAAAACGAACTCGAATCATTCGAAATTTATGAAGAGGCTGAATCAATCGAAAATCGACGTCGTATTACGGACTGCAAGAACAGTCGATTCCCATTGTTGAAATCAGTTTGGATACAAACCGCCCCATTGTTCAAAGCTCCACATCTGCCATCTACTCTTTTGATTTGCACTATTCAATTCGGAATTTTTGCTACGAGCAACGGATTTTACATGTTCTTCGCCGAAATCTTCAACAGAATGGCAACCAATTTAGGCAGTTTTACTGAACAACGAATGGCCATGTGCGACATTATCAACATGAAACCGGCTAACATGAGTGCAATCCTCAATGAACATGATAATGCGGTGAGTTCGAATGATGTGCCATTTTTGACGAAGCAATTTAATTTCAGAAACTGTCTGTTAATAGAAATGTATCACAAAACTTGAGTTGACGACGCTGGAACAAGGAGTCGTCTTGGAAGTTTTGTTTGCCTCAGGTTTTGCGGTCATCGGACTGATCATTAATAAAGTTGGCAAATTCCCCATTTTATGTGAGTATGATGGATATATCGGAATCAATCGCAAAGACTGACAACTTGTTTGCTTTATTTGTCTCCCTGAAATAGTTGTCATTTTGATAATCAGTGGATCGGGCGGAATTCTTTGCATGAGTATTGATATTCCAGTAGTACAAAAATACTCTTTTATTGCATTGATGTGTGCGGGCATTGCAGTGAACATTGTCAATTCGGCTACCGTTGAACTATATCCAACCGCTTTGAGGTATTATTGAATACTTGTAAATGGTCTAATCAATGTGTTTTTTTCAATGAATTTAAAATTTCCTTTCTCGCAAACAGAGCAATGGCAATCTGCATTTCATTAATGTTCGGACGTTTGGGTAGTGTATTTGGTTCAAATCTAACCGCCCTTCTGTTGGACAATAATTGTGAGACTGCTTTCTATTTGTCAGGCGTGAGCGTCATAGGTAATTTGCTCGAGTAAATTGTGATCACCAATGGTGATTCACTATTTATACTACTCTGTCTTCCAGTGAAATCAATGACTTCTCTCTTTCCAAATGAAATTCAGATTTTGAAAAATATTGTTTCCACTGAGGAGAGAGCCGCTACTCAATTGATTTCATGTTTTGTTTTCTTTTCTTCTTCCTTTCACTTTTGATGAAATATTTTTTCCACTCTTCTAGTTGTGGCTGTGCTAACGTACTTTATTCCAAATATTCACCAGAAAGCTGACGATCAAAAGTCAATCATACTAAACCAACCACGTCTTAGCATCACATCTTTCGACTAGACTGGTATAAATGACACAAATTTAGGAATTAAGAATTAAAATCTCCACTGTGAATCTTTCAAATGTAAATTTCCTAAATTTTAATTATAGAATATTTCTATTAGAACGAACGCAAACAAAATATAAAAATCAATCAATAAAACCGAAATCAGTCCAGTCACAACTATTTCAGCACAAACCGAACTATGTTTTCCATATAACTGTATCTCATGGCCTTGACTTGAGTTTGATCGAGCAACGAATGAATAATTCATTTAAATAATTTTCAATGATTAGGCCAAAAGGAGAACATCAAACACTTGACGAGTGTTTCTCTCCTTTTAAGTGACGATGCTTTTTGGTACAATATATATATATATGGAGAAAAGTCTTCTTAATCCATTTCATTCACATAGAACCCATTCATTGCGTACACTCGTCAGAATTGAGCGTTGACGATCATTTCATAATGGAAGCGTTTTTAACGTGTTCAAGTCGTTATTACAAATATCACATGCATTCCAATTGATTTCGCATCATACATAACGCAGGACATTTAAAAACTATCGACCGAATTGAATTAACTAAATTGGCCCATCGTAGCAAACTAACATCAATTGCTCGGAACGTCAAGAATCATTTAGTTTTCAGTTTGTATTGTTGCATCACAAGTGGTTATGCGGAAGTCTGAAAAGAGACTCGTGCAAAATTATATCAATATTATATAATTCTCAATTGCGTTTTTTGTGGACATATTTTTTTTTAAATAAATACATTTTATTCAAGTTCACTTGCAAGTGGCCGAAATATCGGCCAGAATGTCGTTTTCTTCTTCGACAAGCATAAATGTTATAGCCAATTTGATATCGTTATCAACAAGTGTGAACGCTGTAAGACCGACTAGAACAAGTCTCGATGTGCAGAGTAAGTAAGCAAAAGTGTCAACGTACAGACAAATATCACTGTCTGTTGGATTGTTTTCACAGATAATCAACCTGCGAAGAAGAAAGGAATTTTCATGGACGAAGCCATTACCATTACCAGTAAGTGATGTGATAGAATAAGAGTGAACAGTGAATTAAATACAACACGTTCTATAATCAATTATTGAATATATCAAATAACAAAAGGATGGAAATATAAAAACCAATCTCGTTCTACTAAAATTAGAATTTGGTCTCTTCAACTACGTTATAATTTTTTTAAGTGCCTTGATCTTAAATGGAAAGCTAATAGAATCATGTGGTATGGCTTTTGTGATTCCAGTTTCACAATGTGATATGAAATTGAGTGCAAGTGAAAAAGGAATTTTGAGCGCCGTTTCATTCTTTGGCATAATTTGCTCGTCACATTTGTTGGGCTACCTGGCAGATACCAAAGGCCACCGCTGCGTCATTCAACCCACTCTATTCTTGGCATTCCTTCTATCCGTCGCTTCTTCATTCGTTGAAAATTTCTATCTTATCGCGTTACGATCTAAATAACTTCAAGAAGAACAATTCTAGAAGGAATTTAAATGAATTAAAAATTTAACAAAGTCAGCTATGAATAAAAAAAAAAATAAACGACATCATACGTACAAATAAGTTTAGTTCAAATTCAAAATTCATCTAATATTTCATTCATTTAACATTTGCTTGGAAAAATGGTTTAATCGAAGATTCGGCAAACCATAACCATGAACCTCGAAAACAAAAACAATTTAGTGCCATTGTTTGGAGTGAAAATGTTTGATTTTTTTTAACCATTTTTTTTTCAGTTCAAGAATAAAGCGTGAATAAAGTTATCCAAATAGCCTTTTTTGTTCGATTATTTTTTCTGTTCTAAATTATTGGTTATCTCATAAGTTTGGAATCATACGTCTTGGATAGTGAAATTTCTCAAAGTAACCATTTTGATGTATGTTTTAATCAGTAGGAAGGATCAAAATCGTGGAATGTCAATCATTGCGGATTCCTAGGTCACCTACCCGGTACAGAGTGTAACAGCCAGTTTTGATGAAGAATGAATTGGATGTCAACCCGGAAAATGTGCTGAAACGGACTAAAACTGGGCATTCCTTGTTTTGTAATTTGAATTATTATCATTTTGAATCGCAAACATTTTTTAGTTGAAAAAAGAATAATGCTTAGACTTTTTCTCGTATTCAAACGTCCGATTCTGCTTTCTATTTTTTGAAATTGTTGTTTGTCGTGTCTTTGTAGGTCGTGGTGAAAAGGACCCGCGTTAAAGGCTTTTGTGTTGAATGTATCAAGAAGAAAAATGATCCAATGTACAAGAAACATATGGTCAAAATAATCACGCATTGCCCGCTTTGACTTACATTGTAAAAAACACGTTGTCTCTAAAAAAATCTGTTGAAGTTTGAATATATTTTAAGCAACGCTTCAATGACTGAAGATAGTAAACACTTTCCTTGACTTGCCTTGATTTCGGATTTTTCGCTAATATTTCCGCATGCACCAACAGCAAATTAAGTCTTCATACTAAAAAAAACTTCAGGTGTGTCAACTTGACACAGAATATTTCGTTGAGTATGAGTGAGTATGAGCGAACATTTAACCACCGATATCAAAGATCAATTCGTCTGACTGTTTTGAATCAACGAATGTTTCATTTTTCAATTTTTGTTCAACAGAAGCACGTTTTGGCGTATTTAAAACACAAATGCACGTTTTGATGTATTAGAATTTATTCAAATTGGTTTTTTTGAATTGGTTTGCGTCGTTCACAATGACATTACCTTCGATATAAATCGAATGCAAGCGAAAACGGTAGTAAAAGAAGCAGCAAAACAATTCGCTGCGATTTTGAATAAATTGGCTTAAAGACGACGACCACGGCGACCACCCTTTCTGCGTGTAGAATCTGATGGGACTGGTGTGACATCTTCGATGCGACCAATCTTCATTGATGAACGGGCCAAAGCGCGCAATGCTGATTGAGCTCCTGGTCCTGGTGTCTTTGTTCGGTTACCACCGGTAGCACGGAGCTTAATGTGCAAAGCAGTAATGCCAAGTGTTTTGCACTTTTCGGCTACATCCTACGAATCAATTGTCAAAATGACGAAATTGTTAGAATTTGCATGACTTGAGAACAAATGCTGTTTTGAATGGCAAATTGGCACTGTGAAAACGGATTAGATGGATAACGTACTTGAGCAGCCAACATAGCAGCGTATGGTGAAGCTTCATCACGATCGGCTTTCACTTTCATACCACCAGTGACACGGGCAATGGTTTCACGGCCGGACAAATCGGTGACATGGACGAACGTGTCGTTGAAACTGGCATAAATGTGAGCAACTCCAAAAACGATTTCGCCTTCACGAACTTGTGGTCCAAGCGAAACTTGAACTTCCTCCTTTTGGACTTTATTCTTTCTTGGGGCCATTTTGGATATTAATCTATAAATCAAAAAACGAAAACACACAAAACAACCAATTAATTTCAATCGAATATTTCAACAAACAAATGTTCACGTTTTTTTCTTTCGTCGGGCAAATAAAAAAAAGGTTAGCTTCAAAATGTGGACACGAAATGTCAAAACACCGCGATTCACTCGCTTGTACGTATGTTATATGGAATGATAGCAAAATCGAAAATTTCATCAACAATCATCTAGTATTTAATAACGGATTTTTGCCTAAACTTGAATTATTCCGAATGTTATTTAGTCTAAGTAAATGATTTGCGTAAAAATTTCAGTGATTAAACTTGAATTTTTTGGAAAATTGCACAAAATTTACTCGTACCACAAAAAATTGCTGCTGTTTCTTATTGAACGGGAAACATGAAAAGGAATTTGACAGGTCGGTTTGCTCGCAACCAACTTCAGTTTCGTGCGTCACGCTCATGTGGTGGCTGCAGTGTTTGGCACATTACAGTCATAGTCCAGTGGCGAGTGCGTTCAATGGTCGATTGAAAATGAACGAGGATATTTTTATTGATGATAATCTTTCTCACTTTTCAATTTTTCCAATGATTTTATTTGAAAAGAAATTAAAATACAAATTCATAATGCATTTTATTGAAATTAAAATCATTGAAATTCATTGAGAAAAAATCTCCGTTAAGAAAATATCCCATTATACGAACGCAACCCATTTTCTCGCATTGATGTGTGTATATATGTTTCAAATTGCAGTGCAATTTCCAGGCATCTGACAAATAAATACACTGATGATCACCAAAGCAATTCCATCTGTATTGAACATATGAACGAGAAGAAGAAGAAGAAGAAGAAGGTAAAAAAAGACGAAAAATTTCCCCGTCGAAGAGAGAGAGAAAGACCGTTCGCCATATTTATATTTGTTGTTTATTCGTCTTTTGGTGTGAGATCTGTGTGCTTTTTCATTTTTCGATTCGATTGGATTTTTTTTTTGCTCGACAACAGAATATCCGTCAAGTGAAATAGTGTACGACAAAAATTATGTGAAAAATACGGAAAAATAAAAACATACGCAAATTATCCCAAAATAGTTGATAATGAGACCATAAACTAAAATAAATCTTCTGTTTTTCTCTGCCCGTTGTCGTCTTGCAGTCGAAAAAAATTGCATTTGGATACGTGAAAAGTGTTCGAAATTTCAAAACAAAGAGAAGACGTCGATGCCTTCTTCTTTTTCTTCATTGTGTTTTCATTTTGATTTCGTGCCTCCATTCATGTTGATGTGTTTTCTGGGCATATTTATGAGAGCAAAAAATTCCGAATAGAGTCAAAACAAGTAAAGCAAAAAGGAAAAGTTTTGAGTTAAATAGCAGAAAATAGTGAGAGAAAGCAAACAAAAAATCCTGTTTTTTTTGTCATCGTTCAGTATCCCATACTACAAATAAAATAAAATCGGAGTAAAAATGTTTTGAATGGAAAAGATTGTGTTGTTGTTGTTGGATATATAGTCGAAATCGTGTAAAAAGAATCGTGAAATTTATTTGCAACACAGCATCTCACATTAGGCTTATCAATTTACAGTGAAGTAAATTTGGAGCAAAAAAACCGTAAATTGAAGTGTAGTTAACGAAAAGAAACAAAGTTAGTAGGCAAAGAAAAAAGTTACCGAAAATAGCCATCGTAGCGTTTGCGGAGATGTTGGTGCAGGCCCGTTGAGAGAGATTTACTCATTTTTGCACAAATCGAAACTGGTATGACATCACAACAGCAACAACCGAATAACCAGCAAAACCAACAGCCAGCTGCAGCTAACGCCAACAACGCCGCCGCCGCCGAACAAGCACAAGAAGTGGTTCAGCCGGAATGGAATGCTGAAGAATGTGATCGATTTAGTTTCGATGATTCGGATAGATTTGAAGAGGATTCATTGTGCAGCTGGAGCTCAGAGCCGGAAAGTTTATGCAACAATTGGCGAGGATGGAAACGTCCGACGACCAACAGTAACTTTGGAATTGGAGGACTTAGAAAGCACGATGGTAAGTGGTATTTGTTGTATCGACACCATTTTCCATGCATGTACTGCCTCTTTTATTTTCTCTTCATTCATTTTCTACGTGGTGTAGGGAAAGTGCTTACGTGTATTTATATAAATATATACATAGCGCGAGCGCCCCAATTAATCAAACATCGAACAGATTATTTCCTTATTCTCTATTCGCATCACCCTCACAATTGTATACGTGCTCTTTGGCATTCGCATGTATCGCGATGCAATGCCACACACTAAATCACACACACACATTTCTCCCGAGAATTTTATCCCGCAATCGCATGTTTGGTGACGGTAAGAAAAGTGCTATAAAGAGAGAGAGAGAGAGAGAGAGAGAGAGAGAGAGTAAAAAATCAAAATAAATACACACTGACTATGTGTACCTGTGTGTTAATGGATTGATTTGCTCTAATTCATTTACAACATTAATAATGTATGTGCGGAAATCGCAGTGAAAATCGGAGTTAACAAAAGGTGATCTTAATGGATTTTTAGGTATGGCGTACGTGTTTGTGTTGTGAGCTATCGTGAGGAATGTTTCTCTGATTTTCCACTTGATTGAAAATTCATTTCCATTTGCTCTTTTGCTTCTTAAGCACCAGTCAGCCAGCCAGCCGTGTGGCTCATTTTAAAAAGCCACAGAAAAAATTACCATATGCACGGCTTGAATTGCGTTACACGAACAAGTTGTGTGCTAATTTTCCGATTTCCATACGTATAATTCACACATGACATGTATATTTCCCTTTGGTGACAAGCCATTTTCCAATTTTTTATTGATTTGTGTCGTCGGTGATCTTGAAATCGGGTATGCATTTTGTCTTCTTCTTCTTCTTCTTTTTCTTCTTTAGCTCTGAATGGATATGAGCTCGAGTGTTATTCCTTTGTTCTTTGTTGTGTGTTGAACTTAAATCATCTGTCTGTCGGGTCTGTGTGTATGTCTATGTAGATGATTTCGTTACATTGTCTTTTTTATTCGGTATACGTGAGTTAAGCTCCCTTTCGATACGTTTATTTTGCATTATCCCTTTCTCAGTATGTCCTCATTTGTGTGTCTTCAGTTCGAAGAAAAACGATGGATTACGTTCATTTTCATTCTGCAAATGCATAGTTTGCAGCGGCTGATTTCTGAAGAGATTCTGCCGTGGAACAACAACAACAAACAGTGAACATACAAATCAAAATAATTGAAGTCGCGTTGGCCTGTCTGTTTTTTCTTTTTCTTCGTCTTTTTCTACATATTTATAAATTCTTGCTTGTTTTTTTTTGTTGTGTTGCCGTTCATCGTACCCACCACGAACGAAGCATAGAGAGAGAGAAAAATACATTCGAAAACGAACTTACTACTTGTTCTCGGTCGTCTTGTCGATGCTTGCCTTTTTCTCCATTCTTCTTGATATTTCAAGTTTTCAATCTTCATGCCATCCTTTTAGCGTGAATCCATTGCACATAATGGATTTTCAACTTTGTACACATGTACTTGTGTGTACGGTATGTGTCTGTGGCGAACGTCGTTCGCACAGCCAAGGAACAACAACACATATCAGCAACAGCAGCAGCAACAACAACAGAAAATCAACAATAAGGTTTATATATCATTATGGTACAATGCATCGTTATTTGCCTTCGACATCGACATGCTTATGCGTACACACCGTACACATTTTTACACACATGGTTTGTATCTTGTTGTGTGTCGGTTGACTGCAATTACTAGCAGCAACAGCAGCAGCAGCAGCATATTCATTGTTGCCATCGCAGCCAAAGATTGGCCGTCCTCAGTCTGTCTCCTTCTCTCCCCGTGTGTGTCTCAGTCTCAGCTTGGCTAAATAAAAACAGCCATTTTATAAATGCTTTCCATATTATATTTATAGCCTTTTTTTGCTCACCTCTCTCTATCTCTATTCAACTTGGAAATTCGACTAGATTTTATGTTTCTTTTACCTTCGGCATTCTCTCTCTCTCTCGATGTACTTGATATCTGAGCTATTTGTATATTGTATCCGTTTTCAAGAACATTCCTGTTTCTTCACATTTTACCATATTCTTAACACTTGGAAAATTCATAATCGGACAACGAATCCAAGATGAAACGAAACTAATAATTATATATATGGCAACAAAAAAGCATTACAGTGTTTTCCATCCAATTCCATTGCGACGAGCAAGAGTAGCACCGCAATTAAACAAGACACACATATACACAAAGAAAAGAGCCGTGCAAGTCACAAAGTCACTGAGCAGTCGCTTCATCTGAGTTTATATTGAGGAGCACGATAAATGCACCGTCTTCCATAAAACAGCGTAAATAAACAGTTCAGCAACGAACAGATGTTGCGCTTCGACATTTTATGGTACACAATGTCGAACATTCTCTTTTGTTATTGTTCATCATTATTATTATCGATAGCACCTTCCTGATCAATAAATGCTGTTCTGATTTTTTCCCCTTCATTTCAGCTCAACATGGCGAGATTTTTTTTCTCTCAATTTTCAGTCGAAGTTTTTTTTGTTGCTGTTGTGATGTTGTTACCTTTTGTGTGTTTTAATTTTACGCTTGAGCCTGACTTGCTTCTTTTCGTTTTACCCTGATTGTTGGATGGAATTGGACGAATCAAACTTTTCGACGTGATTCAAACCATTGTGCACGGTTTACACACACTGAATTTGTTGGAATATTGTGTTTCTCAAACTAAATCATTCGATACGCATCATTTTCCGATCGCATCAACTCTTTTCTAACTCTCGATGTCGTTAGCGACAGTCGGTAAAATATTCAAAATTCACTATTTTACATCAAACGGCCAACAATTTGAAATGATGTTTTTTCTTTCTGTAGCGACACTGAGAACATGATACACATCAAGGGTTCAATAACTTGCTGTATGAAGCTGATATAAAGTCATCAGCGAGATAGAGAGAGAAAGAAGGAAAAGAGATACAAATATCGTTTAAAATATCCATCGGTTGGCTGATGATTAAAAAAAAAACTACAATACACACATACAAATGAAACAAAATCTATTTAACGCATGCATCAAATGAGCGAACATGTTAAACAAATGAATAAATAGACTGGAAAATGAATACGAAATAAAAATGCTATCGAATGTATATGCCCATTTGCTTAAAATTATGTCTGGCTCGTCGTTTTTCATACGGTTCACATTTAATGGAACAGCACAGCATACAAACAACGAAACGAGAGAGAGAAAAAATGGTATGCTTCGATATTAAAATGGTTGCAATGTTGCTGACGTCAAATGAATTTGAATCACGTAGAATTATGGCACAGTCAGCAAACAAAAAATGACACATTTGCAAAATCATGGAATGATTGACAGAATTTGATGGCTTTATACAATTTGAAAGAAGCGAAATTGAAATAGAAGCGATATGAAAAGAAGTGGAAGTGTGAAAGAAACAACACAATACCGTGAAGTGGTCGGTGTGTTTGACCGGCAAAAGATTTACACGTTCAATGCTCGCTACGGTAGCCAAAACGAAACACAATTCAGCCCACATCTTCTTCACACAATGAAATTTGCCATGCAAATCACTTGTTTCTATGCGTCATTGGATGCACGCATTCTTTTGTTTTCGCTACAAATGTCATCATTTGCAGTTTGTTAATTGAAATAGTCGTTCACTTTGATATCAATCAGAAGTATTAATTAAATCATCACAAAAGTAAATCGCAAAGTGTCAAAATCAGTTTATAAACCAATTTTTTGATTGACCAAAAATCGGATTGAAACAAAATGGATAAGATTATTTGTTATCTGTGTCACAAGACTGTCGACACAACGAATAGATGGCCAAAACCTTTGGCAATGCCTGACGGTCGTCTCGGTCACGAAAAATGTGTTTTGGATTGGTTGATCATGGAACTTCGACAAATGCGAGCCGTTATGGAACAGCTCATGAACCGGGTGCAACCGGCCCAAGCCGCCTAACCAGTTTCGCCTTAATCGAAATGAAAACACATCAACTTCCACAATAATTGGTTCATCGAGAGAGCGAGAGAGAGAGAGAAATAGGAAAAAAACCACACAGAAGAGAGAATTCATATGGAAGCTCCCAATTTTAGAGAATTGACACAATTTTGCAGAGAAACGAATAACATTCAACTGTTGAACTACTTAAAATGAAACCACAAAAAAAACATAACATGAATTTAACGTAAAAAAACAATTTTGTTGACGAAATCATTTGCTGTTGAATAAAATACATTGAACATTTCATTCTTTGACCTAAATAAAACACATTACCATTGAAAGTGGGATTTCGTTTATTTTTCTAAAAACAAAAGAAAAACTAATTCGAACTACATTAAAATTGTGTCCGAATTTCATAATTACAAAACCCTTGCATTGTTCAGTCATTCAATTGAAAACATTGTCTCCAGTCAATTCGCAGTCAATCAAACAACATTTCGACCATTCGAACACCAATCGGTCAGCCGCATTGAATCACGCATTTTGTCAAATGTCATTCAGCATCTTTTGCACTTGCTGAGCGCTAAAATCACTTGCCATCTCATCGTTGTGCTGAGCACACACTCACTCTCTATCTTCGTTAGCCTTGGTTTTTATTTTGTGACGAATTTTCTACCGTCATCATAACCACAAAATTATTTCTATTTAAATTCATTTTCAACGACATTTTTTCGCCGAAAAAAGGAGAAACCGTAAATTGTCGGGAAAAATGAAGCTCGAATGTTGCATTTGTAACGATAAACTTGGCGATGGTGGTCGTCCGGTGTCATCCACGAATTGCGGACATTTGTTCCACAAGGAATGCATTAGCGCTTGGTTAACAAAGTCAGTCAATGGATCGTGCCCACAATGCCGTGCCTACGTGCGAGAAGAACATTTGCGCAACATTTACTTCAGCAACATGTTGGACCGTAATTCGGACATTTTTAATTCGAGCATTGTGGCAAATTTGCGCGACGTCCAAGAGGATTTGTGCATCATGCAAACCAATTTGGAACATCAAATCCAACATTTGAAGGTCGACAACGAGGTGTTGAAGGATCGTGCCGATGAACTCGCCGCTGAAAATTTTACATTGACCCTCAGTGAAACGAAATTGCAGTCCGACATCGTTCTGTTGAAGACAAAAAACCGTCTTTTGGTCAAGAAAAACGATGTGTTGGAGACCGCAAAAGCGTCTAAAAAGGCCCAAATCGATGAATTGCTCCATCAAATCAAGGACTTGAAAAACGAAAACCAGGAACTCAAAGCCAAAAATTCACGTTTGCCGAGAACACGCTCAAAATTTGGATCGACCGATAACAACACACCGAAAAAATTAAATCTTCGTCAGCGTAAGCCTCCATCGGTAGAGGTTCTTGACTTGGACATGGATTGAGATCCGAAAAATAAAGTCATTTTCATTAATTGTTTGCTTAATTTTTACTGATTCAACCGAAAAATATGTTTTAATGTTTTAAATCATCTGAATAATTCGAATTTGTATTGTGTCATCGCTCATCTGTAAAAAAAAAAATCGTTGAATTGTCTGGAACTATCCGATGTGTCGTTTGTCATGGCTGAACAGTTTTCGTAATAAAAATTGACATTTTCGACTGAGAATTTTAGAATCGAAATAAAATGGTGTCGTAAGTCTATTATTTATTGATCTTTTTTGTATTGAATCGAATGTATGGTAAATCTTGCTATAAAATGGGCATTAACCTTTCTGTATTTGTCTTTGGAGCTTCTTTGACATGTCAAACTGATTGAACTCAAGCGCTAACTAACGTCACCAAATCATGCGGACAAAATGTTGAATTCTGAATTTCATGTAAAAAAATCGACGTTTGTCGCCTGCTTATCAACAACAGAATTGCCATTCTAATTACCTTGAAAGAAAAGGCAATTGATCTCCAGCCTTTTTAGTGGAATAAATCTATCTAAAATCTGTTCATTTTTGTAAATAGCTAAAGCGTTTCATTGTCATGCATCAAAATCTTTTAAAATCTTCATTTTTCTTGCTTCGTCAAACAGAAAATCCAGTGACAACCCTCACAGAGTTAGCAGCAAAATGTGTGGCATCATTCATCCCATTTGAATTGGTGGAGCATGTATTTCCGCCAGTTCCCGAGCAATTGCAATTGCGCATCGCTTACTGGAGTTTCCCCGACAATGAGGAGGACATTCGGTTGTACTCATGTTTGGCGAACAGTTCGGCCGATGAATTCCACCGAGGCGACCAGCTGTATCGAAATCGATCAGTTAAAGAACCACTGCAAATAGGTTATATCCATAATCGTCAATCTGACATTTATCATTGAATTTAACTAATGCAAATGTCATGTCATTTATAGGATTTCATTTATCGGCTACGGTGATTGGAACGCAGCCGCGTGCTCAATTCAATGTCGCTGTGACATTTGACCGAAGGCGAATCTCATCATGCAATTGTACATGCTCATCGACGGCATACTGGTGTTCTCATGTAGTGGCCGTTTGTTTGCATCGCATTCATTGTGTACGTTTCATTTTAATAAGTGTTTTTCTTCGCCTTTCTTCAACCAATTCGATATCCATTTCAAAGCAACTAATTTTCTAATCATTCATATTCTACAGCCACAAGAAGTCTGCTTGAGGGCGCCAGTTTCGGAGTCTTTGACACGTTTGCAACGTGATCAACTACAGAAATTCGCTCAATATTTGATTAGTGAATTACCGCAACAGATCTTACCGACAGCACAACGACTTTTAGATGAGTTATTAAGGTAAACACACCTCTCCCGCGTCAATTCAATGCATTTCCAAATATATTTAACTAATTTTCGCTGACACGTCTAAAAATTGCGCATTTCTCTTTGTTCAGTTCACAACCAACAGCAATAAATACTGTGTGCGGTGCACCAGATCCAACGGCCGGCGCGTCGGCAAATGACCAAACCAATTGGTATTTGGATGAGAAGACATTACATGAGAATATCAAGAAAATTTTGATAAAATTCTGTTTGCCCGCGCCAATGGTCTACAGTGATGTGAACTATTTGACGAGTTCAGCGCCGCCAGCGGCAACTGAATGGAGTTCATTGCTACGGCCACTTCGTGGTCGTGAACCAGAAGGAATGTGGAATCTATTGTCAATTGTTCGGGAGATGTATCGACGTTGTGATCGAAATGCGATTCGCTTGCTGGAGATCATTACCGAAGAGTGTATGGCATGCGATCAAATCTTAGTTTGGTGGTTCAACACAAAGCTATCGATGCTGGTTGGAACGGGCGGCCACAATGGCGGTAAACATAGCAATACTCATTCAAATTCAAATGCATCTCAACATGCGTGCAGTTCATTGTGCGATGAAATTGTAGTGTTGTGGCGTTTGGCAGCGTTAAATCCAGGCCTGGCACCTGAGGAACGCGACATGCTACACGCTCAATTCACCACATGGCATCTCAAAATTTTGGATCGCGTTACAAAATGTCGCGTCCAAAGTTCATCGTATAGCAATAAACATTCACAACATTTGCGCTTGGATGCGGAACTCTTCACCGGGTTCAAGCCGGCAATTGAAGCATGCTATTTAGATTGGGAAGATTATCCAATCTTAGGTGTGACACATACTCAAGATACAAATCCGATGTATCATTGTCCGTTCACATGTTTCAAACAAACGGAATCGTCAAAGAGCGAAACTACGAACAGTCAAGTGAACTCAAGCCAAGCGGTTTTGTCGGCCAATCAAAAACACTACACATACATGATAACCGATCATCATAATCAATTGAAACGCATTTTTCGGCCGTACCAGTCGAGCAGCAACGGCAGCAGCAACAGTAGCAGTGACAGTGTCAATGTTCGATTGGCCACTTTGCCGAATGAACGCGATGATATTCGATCGTCGACATCGAGCGAAGGCTTTTGCGAGAATGAAGATGATGGCATTGACAGTGGCGGAAATGTGGTGAGCTCAAGTTCAGGCGGTAATGGAAATAAGAAAGAGCGCACGTCGAAAAAATGTAAAGCAATCAATTCGAATTCGGCAATTGATGATGCACGTGCTGATTGCGAATCTCCGATCTCAACAAATTCAAGCTCTAACAATAGCATTAGGTGTTCCAACTCAATTAGCATAACAAATAAAATGGGCGCTGGCATTGAAACAGCCAACGAACAAAACATTAATTCTCAATCGGATCTAGCAATTCGATTGCAATCACCGATGAAATGCATCGCAAACGATTGCAATTTGGCTGGCTGTTCATTGCAGATCAATGCAACCGTGGCGTCTTCAAAGGCGAAAAATGAAGAATCCATCGAGAAAAGCGAAGAAAAATCGGATGATAAATCCAGCATTCAATCAACATCCGATGCGGGTGAAAGTAAAGATTCATCAAAGACATCGTTTGATGATGCTATTCCATCTACATCGAAAGCCGTAGTGGACAATTCCAAAGCATCGACATCGAAAGACGTGAAAAATAAGAAAGATGAAGCGATTCCATCGACGAGCAAAGGAATTGCCAGCAAAGAACAACAGCAAGACAATGAAGCCGAACGCCGGCCATCGAAAGATGACAGTTTGTCCAGTTCGGGCAGTCAACAATCAATGGACGAATATAACATTTACTCTTACGACACATCGAAAGGCTATCAACAGAAATTGCAAGAGCAGTACGCCCTAGAAAAGGCAAAAATTGAGCAAGGAAACAAGGCACAGATATTCTCAAACATAAAACCAACCGAAGATGCATGGGATATTTTGTTTGCCCGAGCTGAAGGATTGCATGCTCACGGTCACGGTAGAGAAGCGTGCACTTTGGCAGTGCGTTTAGCCGAAGAGATGTTGGCCAATCCACCGAATTTGATGATTGAAATACCGCCGCCGGTGAAGCAGCGCAAGGGCAAAAAACACATCGTTAATCCGATTTCACATCAAGTGAGTGTTTTGGCTTCGGCCACTCTCGCCAAATGTGCATTCTTATGCACCGTTTTGGCCGAGAACTCGGAGCATTATCATTTGGCGTTCCGTATATGTTTATATGCATTGGAAATGCAACGACCACCGGCCAGCACAAAACCACTCGAAGTGAAATTGGCCAATCAAGAGGCGGATCTGTTGGGTCTGCTTAAGCGTATACCGCTCGGAATGCAGGAACTTCGAGTGATTCGTGAACGGGCCGAATCGCTGCGAGAAGGTACGTTGAGATCTCGTGGCGAAGCATTGTTACCAATTATGTTGGCCAGTTTTATATTCGATGCTCTGGTCATGCCATCGGTGTCGGGCAAAGAGACACGCATGAAAGTCATGAATATGTCATACCGTTTGCCAACCGATGAAAATCTGGGCTTTGAAGCAGCCGTTGCTGCCCTCGGTCTCAAAGCAAACGTATCGGAAGCCGAACATCCATTGTTGTGCGAAGGTACACGCCGTCAACGCGGTGATTTAGCACTCACCCTACTGTACTACTACAAGGATGAACCGCATCGTATCGCCAAAATTATGGAAAAACTCTTAGACCGAGACATTCACACCCTCATAAAAACACCATTGTTGCCTTCATATTATTCGAACAATCCACCCGTTCGGACACCGGCCTCGCAAGCGCGTCGCGACGAACATGAAATCGCCGCCCAGTACGCCAACGAATACTATCCAAATGAGTACGGTGTTGCAAATAGCGGCAGTGCTGGCTCACGACCGCATAGCAGCACAAGCGCTGAATTAGATATAGGAATGAATGCATTGGCCATTCAACAGAATTACGCATCGAATCCGATGCAAAGCCAACCAGTTGGCCCAACCATTACGAATACAAGCACTCGCATGAAAGATTCACGTTACAAAGGTCGGTTTTCTACAATGTTTCGAACTTTTTTTGATCTTCAAAGTGTTATACCAATTTCTGTGTTTATTTCCTTAGGTAAACGAGCATATCCATCCATTCCAAATCAACCATCGGAGGCGAGTGCTCATTTTATGTTTGAACTCGCAAAGAATGTCTTGACAAAGGCAGGTGGCTCGAGTTCAACGCAACTGTTTACACAAGCAACACCCAATCAGAATATGATTGGACCGCATAAGACCCTGCACATGTGTGCATTCCAGATTGGCCTGTTTGCACTCGGTTTACACAATTGTGTCAGTCCAAATTGGCTATCACGAACCTATTCGTCGCATGTTTCGTGGATTTTGGGTCAGGCAATGGAAATCGGAGCGCCAGCCATTTCATTTTTGATTGATACATGGGAAGGACACCTAACACCGCCCGAAGCAGCCAACATGGCTGACCGTGCATCACGTGGATGGGACAGTAATATGGTCTATCCATCGGCCGAATTGGCACTTTCAGTTTTACCACATGCGTCCGCACTCAATCCAAACGAAATCCAAACAGCGATTCTTCAGTGCAAAGATCAAAGCGATCAAATGCTGGAACGGGCATGCATTCGCGTTGAAAATGCGGCCAAAGGTGGTGGCGTCTATCCGGAAGTATTGTTCCAAGTGGCACACTATTGGTATGAATTGTATTTGAAGAATTCACCCGGCGGCGAACATGAGCACGACGATAATATGCCGCAAATGGATCACAACATGCAATTGAGCTCGTTAGTGGAACATCATGAAATGCCGCCACAGCAACATCATTCGGGTAAGATGCCGATCAAAATCATGTTGTGATTATGAAAAGGAAATAAAGTTCATAGTTTCGAAATGCGTCGAGACAATGTATGAATAACTGATAAATGATAACAATATCAGCAGCAGTGGCAAGATTTTGTTCAAATGTGTCAACGGTTGACATAATCTCGAATGTCACATTTTTATAGATTTCGTTTTGCTTGCTTTTGTTATTGTAATCATTATTTAGTCAAACAAGAGTTATTTTCAATATTATGATAATGATGAATAAATTGATTTTGTTTTGGTGCTATAGACCAACAACCACCGCCGCCGCCGCAAGGGAACCCAATGCCACCTGGCACGAACAGTCAAATGGTCGTATCACAAGCACCTCCACCACAGTTCCAACAGAGCGTGACTCCAGTTGGCGTACCACATTACGTACCGTACAGGTAACAATGCTGAATAAACCACTTATAATATCGCATTTTCCGTAGAACTTTTTCAGTGGAGAAAATGTTACAAACAAAAAATCTTCAACAAATGCTCCTATTATTATTCTCGTAGTTTTCCGAGCTGTCAAGGAATCTATCATCACCACAATATCACTTATCCACATAATCAGATGCAAATGTACATTTCGGCTCCACCGCAAGGTTTTCAATATCCACCACAAAATCATGCAAACACACAACAACAAGCCCCTCCATTCGTTCCCGGTACAACATATCAATCGATGCCACATCCGCCAATGCCACCCCAAGGCTATGCAATGCAATGTGCGCCCAATGTGCAGCCGTTCATGATGCCCCAACAGCCTCACAATCAAGTAAGTGGCCAATTCAAAAGGTTTTTTTTTCAAGTTTCAAGTCAGTTAAATAGTAATCGAGAAGAATAAAACAAAATTGGAGTCGAAATTGGATAATAATTACGTTATTGTTCGTTCAATTGATTCAGCCTCAACCACCGGGCAACGTTCCGATGCAGCCAAACATGCAATTCTTTGGTCCACCACCGAATCAACAGGCACCGCAAGGAATGAATATGCCACAAGGACCACCGTTACCGAATCTGAGGAATCAACCACCTCCACAACCACAGCTCGTGAGTTATATTATCATATATGTTTGATACAGTTAGCAACCACTTGTTTGATCAACTGTTATGAAAAAAAAAGAAAGAGAAAATTGAACAAAACTAAATGTGAACAATATTGTTAAATCCCAGGGAATGCATCAGCCACCAAACCAACCGAACCAGCATGGTCCGCATCACGGGCCGATGATGTATCCACCATATGTGCAACAAGGACCACACGCAGCACCTCCACTGCAAACGCGTCAACGGCATCCATTGCATTACAATCAAATTCAGTTGCGCTATCTAATGGCTGCGTACAACGTTGGAATGCTCGCGATGGAAACGCTGTCACGTCGGGTGCACGACGATCGACCACAGGCAAAATATGCTCGAAATCCACCGTATGGTGAAGATGTCAAGTGGTTGCTTCAAGTCTCAAAGAAACTCGGAACACAATATCTCCATCAATTCTGTGTGTGCGCTGTTAATTCAATCATCAGCCCGTTTGTATTGCATGACGTTGCTATTGAATCCGCTCATTATTTGGCACGGAACAATCCGACACTTGTTATGCAGCACTTAAGATCGGCCTTGACACCGCTCGTTCAGAAATGTCAACAGATGTAAGTTAATTGCATTGAAAGATGAAATGAGAAAGAGAAGAAGGATGAAATTAATGAGACTATTGATGATTTTTAGGTATATTCAGTGCATTCATGCAAAGCTGTATCATTTGACACCATCCGACTATGAGGATTTCGCGAATATTATTCTTGCAGCCAGAGCTGCATTTCAAATAACGCCCGAAGGAAATGCTCAGTTCAAGGACTGGCTTCAATCGATCCGACGGTATGATTCGATATTTAAAATATACATTCATTTTTTGTACTTTGTTCAGTTGTATTATTATTTTTGAGCATCACTTGTGAACTAATGTCAATTTGTCTCTCTTTTCTTCAATTCGAATGTCAATTCCAGGTCCAAGCAATGCAAAAAAGAGCTGTGGGCGCAGATAAACACCGCCTTGCAAAACAATTCCAAATGACAACGACTTGATTCAGTCAGCTCTGAAGCACAGTCCACATCAGCTCCAATGATGCAATTCTCATTTTAAAAGGCGATAAACATACAAATGACATCCCTTTCCTCGCACACACAGACCCATATTCCGCTACAGCTTCATCATCACTTAGGAAATCATGAAAACTACACAAAAAAAAACAAAAAATAAAAAATATTTTTCTAATTCTAAGAATATTCAATATTTAAAAAAAAAATTGAATTGAATTGAGCCAATTGTTTTTTTCACGTGGCTCGAGCGCGATCTATATATTGTATTTTTCTTTTGGGAAAAACAAAAACTAACCATGAAATTCTCTTTCGATCATCGTATTTATTTTTGAACACTTTTGCGAAAGTGTCGACAGTTTACATTAAATTAATCACTTCTCTAACAAAAAAAGTGTATAAAATAATTGCCGTTTTATGGCTCTTATCGATACATAAAAAATACACACACACATTTACATTATTTCACTTCTTCAATTATCTGAAAGAACCAGAAAATTAAGGACAACCGAAACAAGTGTTCGTCTATTTGTTGAAAGTTCATTCTTTTGTACCTAACTATTTGGTTCCAAAAACGAATTTTTTTTTCTTCATTTGCATGAATTCTCCTTCTTTCCCATCTTCAGTTGTAACCGTCTTTCGTTCTCCTTTAACAAAAAAAAAAACAAACAAACACTAACGGAAAATGATAACAATTCAATCATTTCCCATAGAAATTTTGTTTTTGTTTGTGCTATTAAATTTTGCTCTTCGAATAAACAATCGATGTTACCAATTTGTTGCTATTTATTTAGATCAGTTATTTTTTTTTCTCTTTTCTCCCTCTTTCATTGCTATCGCTTTCGTTTAACTCTGTCTCTGTCTCTGTCATTTCATTCATTTAGCGTGGAACAAATTTTCTTTTCGTCTTCGACTTCGTCTCCTACTTCATTAACAGCAAATAAACAGAAATGAATCGAAATTATTCACTTTTGTTGACGGATCTCAATTATTGATTAACATTGCACAATTACATTGCAAATTAATTATGATTTAGTCTAAAATTTAGTAAATTTTGCTATCATTCAAAAATCATCATTTAAAAACACACACAAAAAAATTATCTAGACCTCATCAAAAAAAAAATGTTTCGTTTAATTGAACACAAAAAAAGGAATTTTTTGATTGATGCAGAAGCAATTATCGTTCGAAGTGTAACAGTTTTACTTGATTTCTTCCAGTTTACGCCGTTTTTTTTTCCTGTTCAATGCAAAAAGTATGTCAAATCGAATAGTGTTCTGTCGCGCAGTGTTTGCTTTTTACGCAAACGGTTTACTTTTTTGTCGTACTTTTTTGTTAGTTTTTTTTTAAATATACAGTTTTTGTCTTCGACTCTTTTTTTTTCTTTTGTCAATTTGAGAGCTATTTACACACTCGGACCCCAATTTTTTTTTTAGGATGCTTAATGAATTTTTATTCGCATAAATCAATTATTATATACATTATTTTTTACGAAAATATTTTTTTTACCTTTATTTTTTTTTAAACCGATAATTGCTAGCTTATTTTTAAGAACTCGTTTTTTCTGTGGAACTTTTACAAATAAAATGGAACCCATTTGAAAAAAGTAAAAAAAAAAACAATTCAATCAACAGCAATGATTGTTATAATTTTCCATTTTTGTTTTGTTTTCATTGTTTTTTTTTGTTGATCCCGTTCTTTTTCAGTTTGTTTATAGTTTTGCCTACGTTTTTTTAGAATAAATAATAAAAATTGAAAGAGAAGAACCGTTTTTCAATTTATGATTCCAGGTATTGCACTATAAAAAATATGGTCTTATTAAACTAAACAAAAAAAAAAGAACTAAGGTTGTTGAACTCATTTATTTAAATGTAACACACACACACAGCAAAAGAAATGTACTAATTTTGTTTGTCTTCGTAGACATTAAGAGAGCATATAATTTCTAAGTAAAGCAAATTTTAAATTATATGTAGTAAACGAGTGCGATTGATGAGAACGCGAACGATTTTTTTTCTCTTCTTCTTGTAACGTATTTGAAAAGAAAGTGAATTATCGAAAATTTGGAAGAAAAAACAAAGTATAGCCGATAGTCGGCGAATCTATTATCAAATATATATTGTATGTAAATATTACTGGAGAATAAGACAGATTATTATGAAGCTATAAGCTCGCAAATACGCTAGTTGGCAAACTATTCAACTATCTCAATTTATATATATCGCATCTATTTTAAATGCAATTATTTCGCCATTTGGCGGTTACAACGTACGATTAAAGCATCGCTCATCTCGAAATTAGGGAAGCAAACCAAGTTTGCTAGCTTTGTCATTGGATCAATTTTTAGATTGCATTCAGGATTCACAGAGGATGTGAAACAAAAAAGAAGAAGCAATTTTGCATGTGCATTCATTTCACTGATAAATCCATTCTGATACCATCACAGACCTCATCATTTGATTGATTTCATTTCATCTATTACACACATTTCCATCACGATACAGCTAATTAGTAAAAATCCAGCAAATGTAGAATAATAGCGTTAAATTTACATTCGCCCCACTTTGCATGTATCTAAGAATATTTTCTTGGTGTTTTTGTAGCAATCCAATTTAGTACTCCAACGTCGATCACATTACAACATTTTCATAAAGGCACTAATTCCAAGAATTACAATCGTGCACAATTACAATCGAGGGCGATCGGAGTTTTTGCTATAACTGTTGAAACACTGAACGGATTTTAGAAAATTTTATATTTTTTGAAAGAATGGAATCTTCTTCTTTCAAAAAATTTGTATTTTCTCAGAATTGGTTCAAAAGTTATAGCAAAAATGCTGAAATACTTTCAAGATCGTGGCACGATTTGCGAATCGTGACACGATCTTAAACGATTTTCAGCATTTTTGCTATATTCGTCGAACCACTTGGTGGATTTTGAAAAAATATATATTTTTTGAGAGAGGAAGATTCCACCTTTCAAAAAATATAAAATTTTCTAAAATCCGTTCAGTGTTTCAAAATCTATAGCAAAAACTCCGATCGCCCTCGATTGTAATCGTGCACGATTGTAATTCTTGGAATTAGTGCCTTAACAGACAGTTTGCATAAATCAAAGATGAACTTGGGAAACCAAAATATAGCCATCGAAAACATTTTCATAAAGCCGTTTTCTTCGTTCGAAAAATGTTTTTGCTTGGATCATAATTTGAATATTTTTTGACACTTTTCGAAAATTCCTTCTTTTCAAAATCTTTTCAATCAAAATGTTATTATGTAACTTATCTAGATTGTGTTTAGGTTTTTTTCTATTTAGAATTGAATTCCAGAACATTTTCTTCAAAATATGTTTTTGATGTTTTTCTCAAATAAAGTGTTTTTTTCAAATTCCGTCGTAAAAAACTGAAATTCAAAGAAACGGGCGTTGATTTATGCGAATAGTTCAGAATAAAAAGCAATTCGAATCTAAACAATAATGGATAGAAATCGCAAAACCAGAACAGAAAAAAAAACACAAAAAAAATGATGGGATATTTTTACATTGCAACTTGCATAAAACATCGTAATAACATTTAGAATGAAAATACCTATAGGTTCGTTTGTAACTCAAAAATACTAACACATATTCGTAGTAAATTCGTTTAGGGAGCGAACAAATGGGAATAAAACTAACTGGCATATAAATCTAAGCGCACATAGTAACTAGACACATACACGGACACACATAATCTATGTCGCACACGAAACACATTCACAGATGATTTATTTTGGAGAGTTTTTTTGCGGACTTTTAACGGAAATAATAAAACTCGAAAGAAAAAGAAAAAGAAAGTTAAACATAGCGAAAAGTTACTTTAATTCACCTAATCAAAATAGATTCAGTAAAAAAACAGATAAATAAAGAAACATTTGTAAATGACAGTATTATAAGGAAAACAAAGAATTATTCCCTCAATCTAAGCAGTTGAATTCGATTGAATAGATCCCAATTTCGAAATATCAAATCAAAAGGAAAAATATTTGAGTAGAGCTGTTCCATATCTATCGAGAATATCTGATCATCCCCCCATCCCCGCCATTTACAATGCATCGATCTCTATATGCTCCTGAAATTGCAGTCACTCAAAACGTTTGATGGAATGAACGACCGATTCGGATTCCCACCTTCTAAACCCAATTCAAACGACTTAATCGTAGAGATTTCATTGATCTATCGACTAGCTGAAATAGTAGCGTTAAATATTTCTCTCATTGTAACGCAATGGAAAACTTAAAGAAAAAATCACACAGTAAATGAAGGCAAAAAAAAATCACCTAAATATCGCATCAACATTTCATATAATCATGTCAGGGTTCTAAACACATTTTACTTACTATTTAGAATCATATTATTATATGTTGAATAGTGTGTCGGTGGATGGCAAATGAACGGAATATATATCGTGGAATTATTGAGATTGAGGAGGTTAGTTATCTCGATCAACTATACTTATTCAATGCAATTCTCCTATCGGCAAATAGCAATTTGAGTTTGAAAATATTGCGACGATCTTTCGATCCAGCCGCGCCATTGATCTTCAACCTTTGCGATCAGTTCACAGAAAGAAAGAAACCGAAACTCAACACCGAAAATGAAAAAAATAGAGTTTAAAAACATTTATGATACTCAGGGAGATACAAACCTCGATTATTATCGATTGCCGTCTGTTCAATTGCCAATCATCGACCGACTGATTTGTTTTAATTTCTAAACAACAACAAAGAGACAACACATTCGAACATCGCAAGCCGTTCACTAAACCAACCTATACTAACGTTTAAGCAAAGCAAATGCTAAAAAGAAAGTACTGGACTAATGTAAAGTTTTTAATGAAGATTAATTTAAAATCTATTTGCGCATATTTAATGGAAAAAGAGTAAGCAAAACAGAACAACATATTTTGAAAAAATAAACAAAACACACACATACAGAAAATAAGATACAGAATAGACTAAACTAAAAAAAAAGAAATAAAGAGAAATGGCAATATTTACCAGCTCTAGTTATTGAATCATATTTAATTATATGAATTATACTATTTAGAAAAAAAGACAGATAATTAAGAAGAAATGCCATAACATTTGCAAATCTTTTTTTGAACATAAAGCAAAAAATTTATGTAATTTACTTTAATGGAGATGAGAGGAAAACAAATATTCTATATAAGATAATATATACATATATTTCTTGATGTTATAAAACATTTTTAACAGAAAAAAAAATTTAACCTAGAGAACAGAAAAGAAACTGCGAAAAAAAATAGTAATGACAACTAACTCACTTTTTCTGTACGAGATCATCTTAGAGTTTTGTTCAGATCGTAGAGTTGGAATATTTTGCAGTCGAGAATATGACGATTCAGTTTTGTTTCGCCTGAAAATCACCGTATTCAAGTTAAATTCCACAGTTTCCGTTCAAATTTGCAGGAGCTAGCGAAAGCAAGAGAAATGGCGACAGCGAGCAGAGGAGGAAGAGGTAGAGATGATTGGTTGATGTTATAAAGTCTCATCTTAATTACATGTTTGCATTGCCAATCATGCAGGATTTCATACATTTTGCTTAATTTAATTTAATCCATAAACAACGCGAGTGCGTGAAAAGGGGCAATCGAGTAAATCACAAACAAGGGATGGAATCTACGTCATGAATCAACAGGTTTTTAGCACTACATGAAATGTAGAGCTACTAATCTGCTCTTTTTTTTCCTAGATAATTTTTGAGTGTTTAAACAAATTATGGTGAATTTGAATTTCATGCTCATATTTTTTATTTAATTTAAAACAGTGGCAGTAACAACAAATAAGTTCATAATATCTCAAAGCGCCAATCAAATTTTTATCATCAAATGTTGTTTAAAAATTACATTAATTTTTCGTATAATATTTTCTGAGTCTTGAACAGAATTAAAGTGATTTTAGATTCGATGCTCATATTATTTATTTAATTTAAACCAAGGGCAGTGTATTTCAAAAAAGATATAAAACCAAGATCTTGTAATTCATTTTGCAAATAAATATATTACTTCAAAGTTACTTTGATGAAATACATTTCATGTAGTGCACCAAAAAATAGTTTGTTGTGAAACAACAAAATAGATTACGTAATTAAAAACTCAAGAACGCAGAGCGGAGCGGAGCGAAGCTCTGCGGTCTTGTTTTTTCTCACCGTGTGCTGATCCCATTGTATTTTTATCGTCTCAGTTAATGACCCACTAAAATGAAAGCAAACAGAAGCGACGCCTAAAAACAAAATAAAAACACAGTTTAAAATAAGCGCGCATGATATTTTTGCGCTGCCGAAAAACAGTTCAATGTGTGTTTAATTCACACATTCGTTGGAAGTTGCGTGAAATTTTTTTTATCACGCTTATCATCGTGTCAGGCCACTTCTGCGATTCTGTTTTTCTGCTTTTCGCTATCGGTTACAACAATTGAATGTGTTTGCCCTTTTTTTCTCGTCATCATCGATTGTTATCATGATGAATTGTAATTTGCGTACACCGTAGAATATTCCATTCATCACTTTTATAATTTATAGATTGGCACGTAATCTGCAAACACCGATCCACACAAACATACTCGTCGTATAAGGTACGACCGTCAAATCATTGTGTTTAGAAGACGATTCGGAAAAATAAACAAGAAAAGTGCTATTTGGATTATTTTTAAATTAGCAAATGTTACACTGATCTGATAACACATAGTGTGCAGACTACAGAGCCATACAGCGTTTCTCAATCCATTGCAACGGACCAAATTCTCAATCCATTTCAAACTGATTAATATCAGTACGATTCTCCTGCGCATTATTACAATAACGCATATTTCTGTCATATATCAAACTACGGGCTGCAGATTGAATACGGGCAGATTTTAATAGAGCTTCTTTGCATTAAATCATTCGCCAATGTCTTTTGGCACCGAATCAAAACTGCTTACTGAATTTCTCACGCATGACAAGAAACTTGAACAGAAATATTTTTGAATGATCTCGAAAACGAATCTGAAAAGATTGAAAATTCTGAAAAAAAAAAAAAAATTGAAAAAAGGACAGAAAACAATTTTTCTAGCAGAAAAATCAACACAATAGAAAGATTAAATCGATGAAAGCAAATTGAAATGAACTGGCAATATCAAAAGAATGAGTAAACATATATGTCATCTTTTGAGACAACAAAAAAAAATTCTTATTTTTCCGCTGCAATTTTCTGCTTCGGCTAATCGTCTAGAGCTGAACTGAATGAGGAAATAAATTTACATTTAATAAAAAAAAAATGAAATGAACAAAACAAAATGGAAACGATTGCATTGAATTTTATTATTCATACACATTATATTGAATATTTTAGAGAGCTGAAAGCTAGTGCGACTTTCACAAATATTTGCGTTTTCTCCATTGGAGCAAATAGTGTTTTTTCTTGAATTATTTCTTCAAAAACGAATTGAAAAAAAAAACTGACAAAAAAAAAATTGAGCAAAAAAAAAGAAAGACAATTTTCATAAAAAGAAAAAAAAAATTATATATATACACACATTATACTTATACAGCAACATAAGATAAAATTGTAAAATCATCCAGGATTAATCCAGGCAAATAAAAAAAAAATAAAAAAAATATTGAGACATTCTTTGAAGTCAATAAAAAAAATAAATATAAATTCATGTTTGGTGTTTGCTTTTCGTCGATGATTCGCTCTGTGTTAATATGTTTGCTTTCAGCTCAACGATAAGTGTTTACTGTTTTAGAGTGCAGATCTTTCGATAATCGCGTAAATAGCAAATAAATGTGAATGAAATTTGTTAAATTTAGCGGGCATAAAAACAACCCTGGCCTTAATACTAAACTGCTGCAGTACGTCCAGCAATAAATCACACATATCATCGTCACCGCCGACGACGACGACGTGCTACAAATATCGCGTTTCAATTTTTCCACTCGATTTCAACTATCGTGACAAAAATTGCGCATTGAGCCGCTAAAAACAGATCCAGCACGTGCTTATCACATTCCAAACAAAAGGTCCAATTGCGGTCATTTGTTATTCAACGTTTTGCTTATGAAAACGCTTTGCTCTACGTAGGAAATGTACGTTTACAATGCGATCAACAACAAATCAACGCTGTTTTAGTTTTATTGTTTTGGGACGGAGCTAGGGGCGGAGCAGACATTTTTTTTGTTATTTGTCGTATATCAATAGGGTTGACAAATTAATTAGGCTTCGTATTGTACTTGGCAGATTTACTGATCCATGTCACAAATATTGCCGTTCAAAGGTTGTTATTTTGAATTGTGTATCACAGTATCGCGGCTCTTTATTGACTACAAAGGAGTCATGTTCAGTGAAATAAAATTAAAAAGTCTTTGGTTTTTAACTCAAATCATTTACTTTTTAATTCCAAAAAACGTTATCGAATGCATTTCGAGACGTATGACGTGAAGATTGAAACAGTCATAAATATTTATAGGCCATTCTCTGAATTACGGCAAACCCATGTGATCGTTCAATACATTGTTCAAATGAGATGCACGAATTGAAAGTGTTTTATCAGTTCATGTGCCATAGATAACCGTCTTATAACAATTGAAGAGCTGTTGAGTTACCTTCTTGATCTATTTGATTATTTAGTATCTACGAACCACATCATAGCAACTCATCGTTAAATATACGGAATTTGAATTTGATCTAAATATACAATAGAGCCTCATAATTTTTCTTTATTAAGATAAAAACGTCAAAACGTTGAGGATCCCACATCCTAACCTAGCACAAGAGTTGTAAAATTCGACTCTATCGTGGGTTAAAGATTATTTCTAAGTATTGCTTCAAGAGTTGGCAATCGCAAAATGGTAATCTCAATTTCAATAAAAAAAATTCAAATCTCAAATGTTTGACGTAGCTCTTCGTGCAAGCTGTTTCAAGTGGACTCTCCGTGGCTTATGACCGAAATCCATATGAAGTGTTGGTCAATCGTCGATGAAAAATTACTGCACCAATTTCGTTTAAACAGACGACTTTTCAAATTTATAGCAAACATGCGTTTTCCGATGGCTGAGCATCTCAGCATTTCGTATGCTGCGGATATATCAGAGTATATCGACGACGCATACTGTATAATACAGTGACGTGCACTGCTACGCGCAGCCGCAGAGCAGAGCAGAAACTCGACCACGCCACTGTATTTTACAGTATGCGTCGTCGATATGCTCTGATATATCCGCAGCATACGAAATGCTGAGATGCTCAGCCATCGGAAAACACATGTTTGATTGTTAGTGAAAAAAATAGTCGGAACAAAGTTGAACAGGCGCATTGGACAACGAAAACCCAAAAAATCGATTGAAATTTGAACAAAACCTTTGTGTTTCCCCTAGTCGATCTATATCCCGTGTGTACACAATGAAACCAATGCCAGCGTAAGTGAATTGTTTCGGATTGGATGTGATATGACATCTCTGCTAATCAGGTTCAATGGGGTGAATTCACAAAATGCTATTCAATTAAGCTCAATAAAAACATCATACAGCTGTGATTACCGTTTGGATTGATATTTATCACATCGGAATTAGACATCAAATATTATCTCTATAAACCGTATGTCAAGAGAGAGAGAGAGAGAGAGAGAGAGAGAGAGAGAAAGAAAGAAAAACATTGAATGTGCGTCAGTTTCAATTCAAATATCACTACGTGACACATCCCTCTCACTCTCTTCCTCTCTTTCGCAAGCACATGGGATACGGCACAGTGGACGTGTATATGTGTGCGAGCCGTGCAAACACAAAATCATTATCTGTTTGGCAAATAGAAAGAGAGAGCGGTATAAAATGTACTTAAACATTCACAAATACAGTAGCAAACGAGAAACACCCAGATTTGTTACCGTGTAATCAGCTGATGTGTGTATACTGTATGTGCGACTTGAAGCAGCCGAGTTAAATATAAAAAAATGAGACTCACTCGTTTCAGACGCATGTGAAAAGCACGAGAGCTTGAATCATATTGTATTCGGTAATCAGTTGAACAAGTTTAGTCCGACATTTTCGAAGTCGTTCGTAGTATTATCAATCGTTAAATTCAGTTCTTCGGAAGAATCACTCGCACGTTATTTGACCTGCATCTCGTTGAGTTTATTTTGGTTCTGTTTTTCCGTACTACCTGAAGCGAAAACAAAAATGCCGTCACAAAACAGCCAAAGTTTGGAAAAGATGTCGAAAACCGACACAATCAAACTTCGAAACCGATACATCGGGTGAGTAACAATCAATTGCTTTATCTTTGTCAAGCGTCTGGTTATCCTACATTTTTGGAATATATTTATGAGGGCCTCTTATTTTTATTGCTCATTTGTGTGAGTTTTCTTTTTAGAACAAGTGATTTTACAGTGAAATCCTAGAGAGGATTTCCTAATCACTTGCACTTCAATTGTTTTTTTTTGTATTTTCTTTTCCCATAAATTTACCAATCCGTGTGTACTGTGTAGACACACTTTGTGATACAAAATTAGATTTGTTCTGCTTTTTTCTTCCATTTTATCATTCTTCACGTAAATTGTTTGTAAATGACTTTTTTCTCTTCATTTTTTGTCCGTTCCGTAGTAAATCCTGCAAATTATTCTACAAATCGGACCCATTGAAAATTGTTCGTGGCCAAGGCCAATACATGTTCGATGAAGAAGGAACGCGTTACCTTGATTGCATTAATAATGTGGCCCACGGTAAGTGTTGTCATAACAATTTATTGCTATTCATTTTTTTTGTTCTCGTTTATTAATATTGAAAGTGGAAAAGTTTAACGGTTGTAAACAAAATCAGCATTTCATTGGAATATCACGTTTTTGCTTATGCGCTTGAAAAATGTTATCATATTATTTATTCGCCGATTTAATCTCTATTGAATATTTACACACGTATGAAACATTTAAGAGAATGTAAACATTTTACGTTCACATAATTTTGAATAATGATTTATTTATTAAAAGGCGCAATACTGGCAATAATTTGTTTTGTCATGTAAACTACTATGACTACTGCTAACTATGATTCAACTCCATTGGAGCAATACTGAATCCATGCAGAAGTATCCTGCATGTGAATTTGTTGAATACTTAACGATTTATAATTAAATTAAAATTATAATTTGAGCATTTATATGAAAATGTTGGTGTTGATTGGAATTCGAATTGCCCTTTCCTAATCAAAGTGATTGGGTGAATGTTTGAACAAGTTTTTCTTATCACTTGTCATTCGAACCGATTTGAATGTAAATGATTGCATATTTCAGAAAATCATTTCACAACAAAAACCTGTTGATCACTCATTTTGATCAGTGGACAATCGCCATGAATTTTTAGCTAGAGCGCTAGCGCCAATTCAATCAACTTTTGCTGTCAGAACGTTCGCCTGCAAATGACACAATTTTCTCTAATCAATTTTTTTTTCGAATGATTTTAAAATTTATTTCGCTAAAGAGCCCGAAGTCAATGTTTATGCCCGCACCAATCTAAATAGGTCATAAAGAGTGTTCGTTTCGGAAACGAACATAAAATCACGTTGCTCCTGTTGATAAGAGCACCGACTTATAAATACAATACTTGTAAATTCAACACACAAAAAATGGTGACAAAAAAATGCCATCGATTTATCGTATGGAAGGGAAAACACCAGCTTTAGTGCACAAACAGACGCGTTATCATCTAACACAGAAAGCGCTGCGAAAAAGGCACGTTTTTTTACAGCGAACCATAAGTCGTTCACGTGCTGTGAACAGGGTCAGATTTCAACATGTCTTGAAACTAAATTTACAATTGATCTGTGTGTACACTGTACAGTGTACATTGTACACAGACAAAGTGTAAACGATTGTGCTATCATTGTTGGTGAGCTGAGTGTTTACAAAACATATTACACCTACATTGCGCTCAAGTGGCTATTAAGCGCTTGCATTTATCAATTATTCGAGCACTTGCTTATCAAATCAATGCTGAAATACGGTTTAAATCCGTATATTGATTTGATGGTTCAGTGAAGTTGTTGTGTAAATTATTGCGATTAATGTCAATTTAATGCACTCGATTCATTTCGAAGTCATTTAATTTGTTTCGTTTATTTCAATATTGCAGTTGGCCATTGCCATCCGAAAGTGGTTGAAGCAGCCAGCAAACAAATAGCCGTTCTATCGACAAACAACCGATTTTTACATGATGAATTGGTTCATTGTGCGGAAAAGATCATCAACAAAATGCCGGGCGATTTGTCGGTTTGCTATTTCGTCAATTCGGGTTCAGAAGCTAATGATTTGGCACTGCGTTTAGCTCGCGCATTCACTAAAAAACTGGATGTCATCACATTGGACCAGTAAGTATCAAACCAAATAGACGGAGAGATAGATAGAGAGAGAGAGAGAGAGAGAGAGAGAGAGAAAAACAGGGCAAAATAGAACAAATTCAATACGCAATTTAAATTGCTACTTTACTAGCCCATTTTGAACTGGATACAGTACATTCGTTCGGTTATTATCACAAGTGAGAGAAAGAGATAGAGAAAACAAAAAAAAACGGACTTTGTTGTTTTTTGGGCAAATAGTCCACGAATCGGTAATCACGCGTAAACAAAAGCAAGTGCAAGTCATAAACAGTTATAAAATCCCATGTCGATGGCCTTTTCGATACCAATTCAACGCGAATGAGAATGAATGGCGGATTTGATCAATTTGGAAATAAACCAGTTTCTGTCGCTGCGTTTCTCGTTACTTTCCTTCTTTTCTTCTGTCATAACATTCTAAAAAAAAATCTCAGTGATAACGACCAATCTTGATTTACGATGTGCATTGTGCACTCTGCGCACAAGGATCATTCGCTTTTTTTAATGGAAATTTTTCAAGCACGAACTATTGGCACCGATTCATACACTTTCCACATACGTTTTGCTTCACTCTTCCCGTACATCGTCGTGCCCGAGTCGCACTGTTTCAATCTTTCTTTTGTTCGTTTCGTATGTACTCAGAATGTTTATCGCGCGCGCATTTTCATTTGATTCAAACAAATGCAATGGCAAACTGTTTATCGTTCCGAGAGATTGAACCGACGCCGTCGCCTGCTGATTACCCGATTACAACAATAACAGTAACAGAAACGATTGCGAACATGCACGAAAAGCATTGAATTAGAGATAAGGATACACAAAGTGTGCACGTTGGATTTTAAGCCCAAAGTGTAAACAAAACAAAAGTGACAGTCAGCGTTTTCAATGTAAGGCAAATCTATATTTAAATTGAGAATGCAACGACAATATAATCGCCACAATTTTACTCATCGCATCGTGCGAGCGCACACACACACCCAAAACAACAACCTTAGTTTAGTTATGTAACATAAAAAACCATTTCTAATCTCGCAACGTTTTATTTCTCTTTAAAAAACCCAATCAAACCGCTTAATGCACACTTCAGTCACACTTCAAATGAAAGGCATATTAAAATTCCCAATTGAACAATAATAAAATGAAATCGTGTGATGCTGCGAATTTTAACCGATCAGTTAGGATTTTCATTGAAACAAATTTAACCATTAAATGAACAAAACAATAAGCTTCGATAAGCTAACATGGATAAATTCCAGTGCATATCATGGACACTTGACATCGCTAATGGAAATCTCACCGTACAAATTCAATTTGCCCGGTGCCGATCCGAAACCAGATCATGTACACGTCGTAAGTTGATTCAATTGAACAAGCATTTTTGTTTTGTTTTTGCAATTTTATGAGTGAGCAATAATTACTAATGGACTTTTTTGAATTTCATTTTATTTTGGATAGGCGTCATGCCCCGATGACTATCGTGGAAAGTTTAATCGTTTCAATTCGTCATCTGACATGATTAAAGATCAATACATAGCCGAAATCGAGTCGATCGCCAAGAAAGTCACCGAAGAAGGCCGTGGCATTGCTGGCTTCATTGCTGAGAGCTTACAGAGTTGTGGCGGACAAATCATTCCACCAGAAGGATACTTTGAAGATGTTTACCGGTAAATTTCCTTTAATTGCACCTTTTGAGCTCGGTTCATTTTTGAATAATTTGATTTGATTCGACAAATAAACGAATTGTAGATTTTCATTGTAAATTTTTTTTCTGCTTCGTTTCAACAACAGAGTCGTTCGTAAATACGGTGGTGTTGCAATTGCTGATGAAGTTCAAGTTGGTTTTGGTCGTGTCGGAACCCACTACTGGGCCTTTGAAACACAAAACGTCGTGCCGGATATCGTTACGATCGCCAAGCCCATGGGCAACGGACACCCGGTTGGTGCTGTGGTTACAACGCAAAAAATTGCCGACAGTTTTGCCGCAACTGGGGTTTCGTATTTCAACACGGTAATTAAACACTTTGTTTTCATTCTCTTACCTCACAATATTTTATTGTTTTTTTTTTTTAAATTCATTTTTCCAGTACGGTGGTAATCCCGTGTCATGTGCCATAGCGAATGCCGTTATGGATGTTGTTGAGAACGAGAAGCTTCAGCAAAATGCTCAAATTGTCGGTGAATATTTGTTGAGCGAAGGGATTAAGATGGGCTATGACTTTGAAATGATTGGCGATGTTCGTGGATACGGTCTATTTGTGGGTTTCGAGATTGTCAAGAGCAAATCGTGCCGTACACCAGCCACACAGGAGGCCCAGTGGATTGTCGATCGCATGAAGAGCGTTCATCGTGTGCTCATCAGCTCAGATGGTCCGAATGAAAATGTTTTGAAGCTCAAACCACCAATGGTTTTCACGAAAGAAAATGCGGAAGAATTTTTCGTTGCCTTCAACGAATGCATGCACTTTTTGCAAAAGGTTCGTATTATATTTTCATGTTACGATTGAACGAATACTTTGTGACCATTTTGCTAATTTTTGCACTCTTTTCCCATAGGTGAATTTGTCATCGTTAACAGAGGATGTTTCGAATGAGCTACCAACTCGCACAGACCTTTTAATCAAAGCAATGTAATCATATCGATAAACGAATTTTATCAGCACAATTCAAGCTCTTTATATAATAATCTATAATATAATTAATCATACATGAATTATCTAGAGATAAGAAAAACAATTTATTGTCTTAAATTAAGGCCATAATTTTAATCAACAACATAACGAAAACATATTTCAATTCTGTAATCGTTAGAATTTTTCTTCAATTCAAAATAGAAATTTTGTTAACTTTAAACTCCATAAACGCCATAAGGTGTTGCGGAACCAAGTATAAAAAAAATAAATTTCAAAAAGTATGAACTTATTTCGATTTTTCAAAATCAGTTTATGAACATGGGTTTGTTCGCCTTTCTTTCAATTTCATTTCACTCTCTATGGGCAAGTAGTTTGTAATTCGAACACATTGGCTGACCACACAACTTCGTTGAAACTTAAGATTGGGTAAAAATATAATTTGTGGAAATCAACACTACGGTAATAAAGACTCACTATGCGAACCTTGCAATTGTCCGAACTTTGATTACATGCGAATGAAGTTTTGCCTGAATTGGCGATTTTAATGCATTTGAACTGACGTTTGATTCGCGCAAAATCAAAGTACTTGAATCAGTTCTCAGCAAATTGTCTGTTAATAAAGATCGAAAATTGAACGAGCGATTTTTTTTGCCTTTTGGCACTCTGTGTTTCAGTATAATTTAAGAAAAAGCCGACATATTTTGTATGTTAAAACTAATCAATTGAATACGGAAAAAAATTGCATTGAATTGAGTTCACACGGGAAACTACGATATTTTTAGCCACTTGTCGTATGAAAAAAAACAAGCGGCCATAATTTGCGCATCATTTTTTATTTCGCGGTCGATTTTATT